ACCCCAATTTTTTTTCTTAAACCCCCCCCAATAACATTTTTTCACTCTAGAAGCTTGAAAGAGCCTCTTTCTCTTTTGCTCTAAAAGCTTGGAAAAGGATGTAGGTTTTTCTCTCTCTAGAAGCTCAAAGACTGTTTTTTCATTCTACAAACTCCAAAAAGTCTTTTTTAAAAAAACTCTAGATCAGGGGTGTCAAACATGCGGCCCCGGGGGCCAGATCAGGCCCTTAGAGGGCTTCTCTCAGGCCTGCAGTGGAAGTGGCTGTCTTCTGCTTCTTCTTCCAGTTCTGCTGCTGCTGCATCATCGTAGGTTTGCAGCTTACAGGTACACACCTGAACAGCATACTCAAGATTGCAACGGCACAGGCGCTTTGATGCAATAATTCAGAGCAAGAGGTGTCAGTTATCAGGCACTGTTAAATAAACAAAATATTGCAAGAGTGCTAATGTTTTAAGCATGTTTTTATTTTAAGTAAAAAAAACAAACTCGCATTTGTGTCCTTTATAAAGTTTATAGTAGTATACTTTATTGTCATTGTACATAGTACAATGAAATTAAAGATGCAATCATTTCAGTGATCTACAGCCATACTCATATACACACACACCATTCACTACTGTCCCATAACTCCTTTAAGGTTCACATAACAACTTAAAACCACCAATGTCACCCAAATTCCAATTTCATACAGCATTTAAGGCAATAATAGCTCTCGAATAAAAAGTATTTTTTAATCTATTTGGCCTTGCTTTAATTGTCCTATATCTTCTGCCCGAAGGCAGCAGTTCAAACAGGGAATGTTCAGGATGTGACAAGTCCTGCAAAATGTTCTTTGCTTTTTTCAAACATCGAGAGCTATACAATTCCTCCAGGGATGGGAGAGGGCAGCCAATGATCTTCTGGGCTGTAATAACAACTCTCTGGAGTGCTTTCCTACCACTCGTTCTCCACCAATAACCAGTGGCTGGATGTCCGTTTTATTCCTCTTATAGTCCACTACCAATTCCTTGGTCTTGGTGGTGTTGAGGATCAGATTATTTTCCCTAGACCACACACAAAGCCGTTCCACCTCATCCCGGTAAGCAGACTCATCATTCCCAGAGATGAGCCCCACCACAGTGGTGTCATCAGCAAACTTAATGATGGTGTTACTGGGGTGGGTGGAGGTACAGTCCTGCGTATAGAGGGTATAGAACAAGGGGCTCAACACACAGCCTTGTGGAGAACCGGTATTAAGGCTATGGACATGTAGGACCCTACCCTAACCCTCTAGGGCCGTGACGTCAAGAAGTTCAAAATCCAGAAGCATATGGAGCTGGAGAGTCCAAGGCCCTCCAATTTGGACACTAATCTATATGGGAGGATGGTATTAAAGGCAGAACTAAAATCCACAAACAACAGGCTCACATAACTCCCCGCCTGCTCCAGATGTGACAGAGTAGTATGGAGAGTGGTAGTGATGGCATCCTCTGTGGATCCGTTTGCCTTATATGCAAACTGATGACTATCCAATGTAGATGGAAGGCATGAAACAATGTGACTACGTACCAATTTCTCAAAACACTTCATCACAACCGGAGTGAGTGCAACTGGTCTATAGTCCTTTAGACTACTGATTGTAGATTGTAGGTATCTCTGCTACCTGGCATTACATTTTATGACACGCACATGGCCTGGCCCAACAAGGTCTCATTTATGTCAGATCCGGCCCTCGTAAGGAATGAGTTCGACACCCCTGCTCTAGATAGCCCACCGGGGTTGTTTTCTTCACTCTAGAAGGGGAGGCTGCTCTCATTCCAGCAGTTCTTTCCAAGACTCTGCTGTTCTCTCCCTGGCCGGAGGGAAGCTTCCCCAGGCCCCAGAATGGGAGAGGAGGGGGAGGTTGCGCCAGCCTCCTCCCTGGGCTGTTTGTGGAGCCACCCTTTTACATGCAGGTATGGCACCCCTCCCTGTCCCAGGTGGCCCTCCCATCATCCCAAGGTAAGGTGTGGCCTCCCTGGCTGGCACCTAGAGATCTCCTTGCTATTACAATGGACCTCCAGATAAGAACATCCGAAGAGCCCTGCTGGATCAGACCAGTGAGGGTCCACCTAGACCAGCCTCCTGTCTCACACAGTGGCCAACCAGTTCCTCTGGACAGCCAACAACAGGGCAGAGAGGCCGAGGCCTTCCCCTGATGTTAAGAACATAAGAAAAGCTCTGCTGGATCAGACAGGTGGTCCATCTAGTCCAGCATCCTGTCTCACACAGTGGCCAAGCAGTTCCTCTGGAGGGCCAACAACAGGGCAGAGGCCGAGGTCTTCCCCTCATAAGAACTTAAGAAGAGTTCACCTGGATCAGACCAGTGGTCCACCTAGTCCAGCCTCCTGTCTCACACAGGGGCCAGTCAGCTCCTCTCGAGGGCTCACCTGGATCAGACCAGTGAGGGTCCACCTAGTCCAGCCTCCTGTCTCACACAGGGGCCAGTCAGCTCCTCTCGAGGGCTAATGTCAAGAGCGCAGAGGCCGATGCCTTCATAAGAACATCCGAAGACCAGTGTTCCCTCTAAGCTGAGTTAGTGTGAGCTAGCTCACAGGTTTTTAGCCTCTGGCTCACACATTTTTGTCTTAGCTCAGGAAGAATGGCTCCAGAGCAGACTAATTTATGCGGTAGCCAAATCACTTGCTCACAATTTTAATGCCAGTAGCTCACAAAGGAGAATTTTTGCTCACCTGGCACAATGCCTTCTCTGGTGTTGCTGTCCCACCCAAATGTATGGCACAGGCAAGAGATGGATGAGACGGACCCCCCTAGTGTGCGTTTGGGGGGGGGGGGTGGAGCAACAGTAGGGGCACCATTCCAAGGCAGCCTGGCTAGGGCCTATGGAGGAGAGGCCGTACCATGATATGAAGCCCCCCCTTCACCTACCTCAACTTTGGAATGTCCCTCAATAGAAGCTGAGATCACTTCTCTGAATTCCTTCCAAGTGGGTTTCAAGACCTGCCTTTTCTGGAAGACCCAAGATGAGACGGACCCCCCTAGTGTGCGTTTGGGGGGTGGGGTGGAGCAACGGTAGGGGCACCATTCCAGGGCAGCCTGGCTAGTGCCTATGGAGGAGAGGCAGTACCATGGTATGAAGGCCCCCCTTCACCTACCTCAACTTTGGAATGTCCCTCAATAGAAGCTGAGATCACTTCTCTGAATTCCTTCCAAGTGGGTTTCAAGACCTGCCTTTTCTGGAAGACCCAAGTTCAAGCAGTAGGGTGCAGAAGAAAGTCGGAGTCCAAGTGGCGCCTTTAAGACCATCAAAGTTTAATTCTAGGTATAAGCTTTCGTGTGCCTGCAGAAGCATGCACACAAAATCTTATACCCAAAATTAAACTTTGTTGGCTTTTAAAAAGTGCCATGGCCGGACTTTTTTCTGTTGCTTCAGACCAACACGGCTACCCCAACTGAAGCAGTAAAATGTGCACAGGTGGAGCAGCCTATGGCGCTTTGTGTTTTAACAGCTCTTTTGTGAGTGTATTCCTGGAAGTCATGGCTGACTACGGCCAACCCCTAGTGGGGCTGGGACATTTCAGAGAGCTGGCTTACTATTACCTGCCTCTGCATTCCTTGGAGGTCTCCCTTTCAAGTACCTACACAGGTCGGGGCAACAACTCTTCTTTTTAACTGGATTAGTATTTACCTTATTGATTTGTAAGCCACCTTGGGGAAATTTAGCTGAATGGTTGCAAATATGGAGTATGGCCCCCAATTTCAGGGGCACAGTGTTAACATTCCTTTATGCTACTAGTACTTGACACAATTCCCAAATTTTACAGCAGTATGTACTGTAACATGCAATGAAAATGCAAGAAACCACGGTTTAAAAAGATCAGTGTTTAATATATGAAGTTCTTCGTTGCCAAACACACTGGATATACAGTATTCTTTTAAAACACATGCTTTAAGATGCCAACAGAACTTTCAGGTACAATTCTACAACAGCTGACGCTAGCTTATCTTTTTGATAAGAACAACTAATTCCATCAAGTTAACTGAGCCCCTGGAAACAAACCACTTGTCCTAATGGCTGCATTCAGCTAAGTACTATTTCCACGTGACTTGGTAGCAATCCTGAGCGGGAGCCATAACAAAGTCTATTTCAGTAAAACAAACTGTAGTCTAGTATGGAAACTTCTTTAAAGCCGGACAAGGGTCTATGTTCCACAAAGACAGATGCGTCCGCAGATGGGCTAGCTCGTTACGTTTCGGCAATTTAGTCGCAAAATTCAAGCTGCTTACGTGGCCGTCCTGGGAACTTGCGTATGACCAAGCGGAATTACTTTATACAGAGGGTAGTTTCCATATCACCAAGATCAACAGGACTCTACAAAAATATTACAGAATATGCAATTAGCAATTCAGATAAATGGTTTCAGAATTTAGGATAAAGAGCGTTTCATCCACAAACTGCTTCTATTCTTCAGAACAAACATGCATCGTCGTTTTTATTCTGCAGTAAAGTCTCAATTGGGCAGCCTGTTTGCAGCATCAGTTGCATGAAGGGATAATAAGAGTTAATACCGTTTCCCTGAAAATAAGCCCTACCCCAAAAATAAGCCCTAGCAGGATTTCTATGCATTTGTGGTATAAGCCTTCGTGTGTCTTCTTGAGAAAAAATAAATATAAGACAGTGTCTTATTTTCGGGGAAACACGGTAGATGTGAGAACTGAGTGATTTAGCATGTGTAGTGAGATAAGAACCCTATATCTTGGTTAAGCCCTGGGAGTTCCATTATCCTGCATATTGTAATAATTTATAATTATGCAACCTCCCATTCTAGTCTGTTTTGAAATTCCTTTTCAATAAAAACAGCTACTTTAAGGTCCCCCCACTAAAATGTTCTCCGTTTTGGAAAGTATTGTCATTAATCCAGAACACAGCTATTAAAGTTGTTCTGGCACATCAGGCTGATGAACTGTGTTGTGTGCACCAATTAGGTCACAAGGAGATTAATGTTAACCAGGTACTTTCTGTGCCCCTGTGGTATACTGTAAACGTTTCTATAATTTGCCTTCACACTGTAAGTGTCTAAAGTTAAAGTCACAATGGGAAATCAAAACTTAGCAGGCTCAAATCTTGTCAGTCTAGCCACGCTGCTAGGATCTGTACACCATTTAAACTGGGCATCATTTTAAGATTTTTGCTAGCTATATTAGCAGCAAAATTTCTGGGGCTCGGAGCCTGGCTTGTTGATTACACTCATGCTGGTCCAAAAGACAAATCCCCAAAGCCTTGAAAAGCTCACACACTTACATGCCACAGAGTTGACATTACACAGCCTGCGTTCTTCACTACAGTTTGGTGTAGTGGTTAAGTGCGCGGACTCTAATCTGGGAGAACCGGGTTTGATTCCCCACTCCTCCACTTGCACTGGCTGGCTGGATGACCTTGGGCAAGCCATAGCTCTGATAAGAGCTGTTCTTGAAACAGAGCAGTTTCTGTCAAGAGCTTTCAGCCCCACCTACCTCACAGGGTGCCTGTTGTGGGGAGGGAAAGGGAAAGGAGTTTGTAAGCCGCCCTGAGAAGGGCGGGGTATAAATCCAAATCTCCTCTTCTTCTCTTCTTATAAAAATGCATATATTGCTTAGATAGCCATTACATTGTGCTAATACTTTATGCTACCTCGGGGAACATATTTAACTATAAAATATTAAATACGGCTTTAATTGTTTTACAGAAAGGCATATTAAGTTATTTACAGCATGGACAGCTTCAAGAGGGAATTGGATAAGCATCTGGAGCAGAGGTCCATCAGTGGCTATTAGCCACAAGGTATAGATAGGGACTCTTAGGCTGGGGCAAGGGATGCTCTGTATTCTTGGTGCTGGGGTTGGGGTGGGGGGACAACGGTGGGAGGGCTCCTAGTGTCCTGGCCCCACTGGTGGACCTCCTGGTGGCTCCTGGCATTTCTGGCCACTGTGTGACAGAGTGTTGGACTGGATGGGCTACTGGCCTGATCCAACATTGGCTTCTCTTATGTTCTTATTCGTATCCTATCTTTCTCTTTCCACTTGTCTCACTTAGCTTATGGAAGGTGCCTTCAGATCACAGCTCGTAAACTAGTTTACGCTTTGCTGTTGAGCGAGTAGAAAACAGTTACTTCAACAGAACAGTTTGGGCATCAGCAGATAAAGCTGAACAGTTTATAACCCCCTGTGACGACCCCTTAATATATGGGGAGGTCTGGTTTCCCTTTAAAAGTGTTCTTTATTTTGTTCTACTAGGGTATATCCGGCTGCTACCAGGAAATTTAAGGCTTTCCAAACCTTTATGCCTTTAGTGCGATCTGGCCTTTAAAGCTAAGCTCTGCTTTAAAAATTATTTGAATGGTAACCCCTTAAACCCAGCTAAATACAAACATTACAAGTGGGTTTTTAAATAACCACCCCCAAATCGTATTTTTTAAATCTTTTTTTTCCCAATCCCGCAATGTAGCTTGTACTCACGCATGTTTCAGTCTTCTTCAGCGGGTGGGTCCCAAAAATGCAGCGCTACCTTCCACAGTGATTTGTTGGTTCCAAGATCTTCGACTGTATTTCTTGAATTTATTGGGAGTCCTCGGATGGACTCCTGGAACTCGTAAGCTCCTTCAGAACACAAATGAAACCAGAGTTTTGAGCAGACCCTTCCATACCAAACTTACACATACAATTTTAGCTATTTTTAATACAGCTGGGATTTCTATTTTACCACTGTTGTTTCCCTGTATATTAACAATTTAGCACAGAAAAAAAAAGATGTGATGAATAATTCTGGCAACACTATGATATAAGAACAAAGTTAGTCCAATGGCCAACAAGGTTTTATTCAAGGTGTGAGCTTTTGAGTGCGTGCACACTTTGTCCGACACGGCTACCGACCTTGATCTATCAATATGATATAAAGTTAATGTTCAGTGATTAATGTTTCCTTCCTACGGTTAGGCCCTGGAGACCTCCCGTTCTTACAATTCGACAGTTTGAAGGGTGGGCTCTGCGCCTTTCGGCCTCGCCGAGGTCCCTCCCCTCCCCAAACCACTGTTCCCTCTAAGGAAAGGTGTTTGAACTCTACCACTGACATCAGTCCAAGTAAATCCATCGGTTGCGATCTGGCCTTTAAAGCTAAACTCTGCTTTAAAATTATTTGGTAACCCCTTAAACCCAACTACTTTAAAGACAAACGTTACAAGTGGGTTTTTAAATAACCACCCCAAATCGTATTTTTAAAATCTTTTTTCCCCCAATCCCGCAATGTAGCTTGTACTCACGTTACTTGCGTGTTTCAGTCTTCTTCAGCGGGTGGGTCCCAAAAATGCAACGCTACCTTCCACAGTCTGATTTGTTGGTCCCAAGATCTTCGACTGTATTTCTTGAATTTATTGGGAGTCCTCGGATGGACTCCTGGAACTCGTAAGCTCCTTCAGAACACAAATGAAACCAGAGTTTTGAGCAGACCCTTCCATACCAAACTTACACATACAATTTTAGCTATTTTTAATACAGCTGGGATTTCTATTTTACCACTGTTGTTTCCCTGTATATTAACAATTTAGCACAGAAAAAAAAAGATGTGATGAATAATTCTGGCAACACTATGATATAAGAACAAAGTTAGTCCAATGGCCAACAAGGTTTTATTCAAGGTGTGAGCTTTTGTGTGCGTGCACACTTTGTCCGACACGGCTACCGACCTTGATCTATCAATATGATATAAAGTTAATGTTCAGTGTTTAATGTTAAAGTTTTACTTAATATAAAAATCCTTCCTACAGTTAGGTCCTGGAGACCTCCCGCTCTTTCAATTCGACAGAGATCAGTTTCCCTGGAGAAAGTGGCCGCTTTGAAGGGTGGGCTCTGCGCCTTTCGGCCTCGCCGAGGTCCCTCCCCTCCCCAAACCACTGTTCCCTCTAAGACGAGTCAGTCTGAGCCAGCTCACAGTTCTTTAGCCTCTGGCTCATACGTTTTTGTCTTAGCTTGGGAAGAAGGGCTCCAGAGCAAACTAATTCATTCAGCAGCCAAATCGCTCGCTCACAACTTTAATGCCACTGGGACTGCATGACGGGGTTTTGTGTTTTCTTGTTGTTCAGTCGCGCAGTCTTCACAACCCCATCACACCAGGCCCTCCTGTCTTCTGCTGTCCTCCTGAGTCTGCTTAATTTCATGTTCGTTGCATCAATAACACTGACTAATTTGTTTTCTACCTTCAACTTAACGTTTTCCACCCTTTGTGCCATTGTTGTATAGGGTGCTGCAGTCTGCAATTTCCCCTCAGGAACTGGGTGTATTTTTACATTCCATAAATGCACCAAATAGTACAGTTATCCAAACTTAAAATGATGTAAAAAGGTAAGTAAGTAAAGGTAAAGTTTTTCCTTGCTCGAAAGCCAGTCGAGTCCGACTCTAGGGTTGCGGTGCTCATCTCCGTTTCAAAGCCGAAGAGCCAGCGCTGTCCAAAGACGTCTCCGTCCAAGGCGCACGAACGGTGTTACCTTCCCACCAAAGTGGTACCTATTTATCTACTTGCAATTTCTTGCTTTCGAACTGCTAGGTTGGCAGGAGCTGGAACTAGAGACTGGAGCTCACTCCGTCATGCGGCACACTCTGGTCTCGAACTGCTGAACTACTGACCTTCCACAGCCTGCAGTTCAGCGTCTTAACCACTTGAGCCACCGCAGCTCCTTAAATGATGTACCTTATGTTAAATGAATAAAAGTAGTTTAGATCTGAAAGGAAAGTAAGTTTTTCAATTTTTCCCTTAGAACTTCTTTTTGTTCATGGCTTTATCAAATTCCATAATGATCAAAACACACAAAATAGAAGACATTGTGAAATGAATCCTTCCTTTAGGTTTGCTGTCAGTGAGATCGAAAAATAAAATCGTTAAAAGCTCACTTACGCCCCTCGCAAATTTCTGTGACTTACTTTGGAACTTCCCGAACGTATCTGTCATACGCCAGCGTGTTCTTCCCGTAATTTATTTGCTTCTGCCTCCTCATTAAAACAGCTTCATCAGTCTCAAGTTCCATGCCTCCTGTGGACTCCTTGGAATCAGAGCTGGAAAAGACAGTAGAGGTTGATTTGAAGGTTTAGCCTACAGTTTCAGGAGATGTCGTGGCAAATCAACAAAGATTAGACTCTGTGCTAAGTTCTGAAGAACATACAGAAAGGTACATACAGAAAGCTGAAGTTCCTGTTTCGTATTTCTGTAGTTTGGACTTTGAGGAGGAGCTGAACACTTCCCTCCACACTACTGTATGATCTGCAGCAGTGATCAAACCCCGTGCACAGTAGTCATTTCTCTTGTGAAGACCACCCCATACTCCCCAACTGCTTATATGTTTGCAAGTAACAAAGATCTGAACATAAGAAGAGTCCTGCTGGATCAGAGCAATAGCCCATCTAGTCCAGTGCCCTGTCTCACATAGTGGCCAACCAGTTCCTCTAGACAGCTCACAATGGGGCATAGGGACCGAGGCCTTCATTAGAACATCACAAGAGCCCTACTGGATAAGACTGGTAGTCCAGCATCCTGCATCACACGGTGGCCAAACAGTTCCTCCAGAGGGCCAACAGGGCATAGAGACCAAGGTCTTCCTCAGAACATAAGAAGAGCCCTGCTGGATCAGACCAGTGGTCCATCTAGTCCAGCGCCCTGTCTCACATAGGGGCCAACCAGTTCCTCTAGACAGCTCACAATGGGGCATAGGGACCGAGGCCTTCATTAGAACATCACAAGAGCCCTACTGGATAAGACTGGTAGTCCAGCATCCTGCATCACACGGTGGCCAACCAGTTCCTCCAGAGGGCCAACAACAGGGCATAGAGACCAAGGTCTTCCTCAGAACATAAGAAGAGCCCTGCTGGATCAGACCAGTGGTCCACACAGTGGCCAACCAGTTCCTCCAGAAGGCCAACAGGGCACAGAGGTCGAGGCCTTCCCATGATGTTGCCTCCTGGCTCTGGGGATTCAGGTTTACTGCCTCTGAATGTGGAGGTTTCCCCATAGCCACTGTGGCTAGCAGACATTTGGCAGACTTATCCTCCAGGAATCTATCTAATCCCCTTTTTAAAGCTGTGTATTCCTGTGGCCATCACTGCATCCTCTGGCAGCGAATGCCACATTTTCATCTGGATCGGAGTGTGTGCCTCTGCACAGCCCACAGCATTCACTATACCGGGTGGCTGGACAGTAACCGCTATCGTCAAGCATCCGAATAATTTTTATTTATCTGATTTATTTTACAAAACTTCCCTCCCACCTTTCTGCTCGTCCGAAGGCCACCAAGGCAGCTAACAATCTAAAACATGCATTAGAAAAAAAATCACGTTTAAAAACCGTTTAAACCAACCTTCCAAACGCGCATAATTAAAACAGGTAACAGAGTGCGACAGAGTTATGGAGCGAGGCACCCAGAAGCATGCGATACTCACAACTTTAATGCCAGCAGCTCACAAAGTAGAATTTTAGCTCATAAGGCTCCACAGCATAGAGGTCACCAGAGGTCGACATGACGTCCAGGTGTGCGCACACACACACTCACATGTACACAAAAATATTAAAAAATGCACATGCACAAAATACTTAGCATTCCCATTCAGAAACCTCAAGGAAAAAGGAACATTCTGAAGCGTTTCAGGGGCGCTACCAGCCATTTGATTACGATTACGACAGTAATCAGACATCCCTCCTAAGACCACATTTGAGAGCATTACATTAAACCTTACGACGAGTTTTATCCTTACCTTCCCGTAGACAGCTTTCTTTCTCTTCCAAACTCATTCATCAAGAGCTTCCTTTTGTATCTGCAAAACAGTTTGAGTTTAGCACACAGCTGCTTCCGCTACATGACCGGAGCCCATTGTCTCTGCAGTATGGATATATTCACAGTGCTAACTGCTGGCACAGCATGAAGGCAGAACCAACTCACACTTAGCTCACTCAGTGTGGTGAGCAAGATGCAATTGCTGTAGGGGTACTGGAGGATTTATCGTCTTTTTTCTTTATTTGATTTATATCCTATCCTCCCCGCCAAGGCAAGCTCAGAGCCCTGATGGATCAGAATATATAATCAGAATACCTGCCAGTCCAGGGGTCATTTCATAGAAAGAGGGGTGCAGGAGCTCATTAGCATAGCTTATTTGCATATGCCACACCTCCCGAGATCACCGGAAGTGTGTCAGAAGGCAACACCCACTGCTCAGGCTCCACTGGACTGTTTTGGATTGCTAGCTTTTTTTTCGGGGGGGGGGGGGGGGCGCCAC